AAGTAATAACACCCCCTGCTAGCATCTAGTAATTCCATTACTATAGCCAAGGCGGTCATACAAAGATATCCACTTCACCTGACGTACAAGGCAACTTCAAATTACGCACTCATTTGAATACTCGTCGTAACATTCACCATGCTTGCCAAGAACGGGCATTTAATCTACCCCTCAACGCAGAGATCCTCGATAATTTCCTCACAAGATGCGCGGGGGGAATTGAAATGTTCCCCAATCTATCAATTGATCATACCCCATTTTCGCTAAGGAAATTACGAGAGCTGTAGCCAAGGTCTAGAGGTGAAAATATAGAATCTCAGTTCGTAGCTCGTGCGGCGCTTATGGAAGTCGCCCCAGGAGACTCACGTAACTCGTCTCCCGAGGGTGTGGTCATGTCTTTGGATCTTCGCGTTGGGTTGAGGCGAGCGATTTACGTTTGTGGTGCATTGGCTTGACTGTGAGGCTGACTGGCGATTGTGTGAGAGAATGGACAAAGTCAGTCTACTGGTGCTTACTTTTTGTAAATCGAGGCAAAATGTCTTATTGCAGACGCGGATGAATGCTTCCTTACAAATACTGACTAGTGGAGCGATGCAGAGAAATGATGCTAGACACACTCCCACCTCGAGATCTTGGGCTACAAGCCTGATTTTTAGCACTATGCACGAGACACTATTCCTCGGGTATCGCAAGTATGTACCATCTTTTTTCAGTCTATGACTCTACAGAATGGGCAGTTGTTTCCTGCCTGCAAGCTGAGGATACCCATGCTCATTTCGTAGGCCCCTCCAACTGTTCCTCTCAAAATTTTCATGCAATCATACACGTGGAGGAGCCGCCTGGCCTTCGTTATAGCTCCTCTCAGACCAAGCGACCGAGGCTTTTTGTGGGCGCGCGATAGGCGGAAATACGTGCAGACACATTTGGCTGCGGGGCTCTCCTCCGGAAGCGCTGGTGAAATCTCTATGTGGTAGGTCGGCGGTATGTTAGCCTATCCTGGCTCCGCTGCGTCGTCTTGGAAATTGGGTGACGCTGTGGACGCATCGACAATGTTCGGCATCCGGACTGGCGAGTGTGGGAAATGTGAATGGCATTGAAGGTTTTATTACTTGCTGCTGTGGGGCCTTTATTCGATCAAGGTAGGCTAGGCATGTTGTGCTACAATTGTAGCGCTCGATAGTATAGAATCTCGCTCGTTGCTGGGGGAATCGACGTTGGATCGTGGGGCGAGATTGACTACTTGTAATGGCCTTGCCGATGCGCGTGACTCAGGTTTAGCCCTATAGACCCTAGTGTGGGATATAGAGCTGCCTTGGGGACCTCGTTGAGGAGGATTCAATGCTGATGTTCCCTTGTCGGCGTAGATGTGTAAGTGTATTGACGCACTCGCAACGGGCCACCCCATCCAAAGCTAGGCTGAACCAGGCTGACTATGGTGAAGTACGGAGGGCAAGACTGAACACCTGTACGCGGTGTCCTCTACGAACCTGGGAGTGAAATATTCTCCCAGAGCCAAGTTCAGTCAAATTTCGCAATATCAAAGAAGTTGGCCCACGAGGCAAAAATCCAAATTACTTATCCACGTCGTTATTTCGCTCCCAACGAGTTTGACTCCTATCTTCGTCTCATCAAGTCTACAAGTACGACCAAGTACATCCTCATCCCGATGACCACACCGCTCTTCGACCTTCTCTGGCCTCAGTTGACCGCCAAATACACGCCCACGCCGATATTTATACCCGACGGAGGAAGCAAAGCGTGGCGCACAAATCTGGGAGATAGTTATTTGAGATGGACTTGAGAGGAATCAGGATAAGTCGACATGATGATACGAAGGAAGGATAAAACCTCGAAGGGCGTGAAATTCCGAATTTTGGCAAGGAGTTTTTCGAATTGGGCTTTGTGCGCGCCAAGACTTCGCTTGCGAGAGTGCAGTTGACACTATAAAAACAAGCAAACGATGGAAGGTGTTGTGGTCCGCCTCCTGGTGGTGTTCTCTGGTATAGTTTGAGTAGCCTGGGCACCTACTCCACTTGGGAAGGAGACACCTCAGATCACATATCGCGCGGAGAAAGGTTGAAAGATGATGGAGGCATGTCTGGATAACCCAGGGTTTTTGAGATGTTCCCCTGGGTGGGTATTCACGGATGAGGGTTGACTTGGGGTGAAGAAAAAGCCACCATAACTTCGCAGTGGTACTTGCAAATGAAATCCGAGGCATGAGTGCTCTTCTTGTAAATTGAGTCATCTATCATACACTTCTCTGATATTGTGTCATAGCTAGATAGCTGCATACGCAATTAAAATCTGATGCAAAAAAAAAAAAATATGGTGAAGTACATCAACCACATCTCGTCTTCATGACTAGATCGCCCCAAACCTGACTCATGTGTTTAAAATGCCTAATCCGATCGTCCAGAGAGCTCGATGACTACGTGCCAAAGCGTAATTCCCCCTTCGCCCCCAGACATGGCCGGAGCCGCAGCCCTAGCCCTTGTCGCTCTTTCGATTTTCTTGTCGTCCCCTCCCTTGAGTCTCGGTGTGGCCTCGTTCCGGCGTCTCCCCTTGGAGGACTTCCCTCACTCAGCTACGAAGCGAGATCAGCTCCAGCTTGGATTCCGTCATCCGACAATCTCTCCAACAGGGAGGCTCGTAAAGGGTCTCAAACTGCAAACTTGCCAACTCATTGCCGAACCCCTAGCCATAGGGCCAATCATATGAATGATAGCTACCAACAAGGATCCCATGCCCTGGCCCTTGGAAAATATTGATGTGCCGGCGAACTATAAAACCTCTCTCCTCGGAGATTTGGCTATTGGTGCCCACGGCCAAGACGCAGAGAGATTTCACTCCCACACACAATGACGCTTGCAGACACGACGTCTGGAGTAGTTGTGGGGGATTTAGTCCAGAGAGAGAGAGAGGGTGCATCGATGAGCAGCTAAACGAGTCCAGATCAGGCGCTCGAGGAAACTTTCTGCTGGCATGGGAGCTCGAGGGGGATCGGGCCTGTGGGTGGCACGAGCTCGGACTATGCCGACAGAAGTCGAGGAGTGTGAGGCGCCGTGGACTCGCCGACACGCAAATCCAGCTGCCTTCGCCGCCGCTTTCGACTATAGCCCGTGCAAAGGCCGCCCATCGCTATTCGCACCGCTTGGTCACGTGGCCTCTATTTCATGTACATTCTCGCCACTGCGCGAGTGCCATGCTGGCGTTGGAATATGTCGTAGTGTAGGGTCTCAAGACGCTGGGCTTCGGGCGAGCGGTCGTGTGGCGTGAGCGCGACGAGCTTCGTCATCTTGAGTCGACCCTTTCTCCTTGCACGCCATCTCTCACAACGCCCCGTCTTTGGCCCTTGCCACTCAAGTTGCTAGCTTTGTTTCGAACCATAGACACATGCTATATATTCCCACCAGGGGCTCCGTGGTCGTATCCAACAGCTACTTTCGACATGGGTAATGATGGCAATCAAAGTATTCTGTTACTTACAGCTTTGAGAGGCCAACGATCGTGGTTTCCGCTCGCACTCGAGCCGCAGAAGTGCTCATTTTCGGCATTCAACACTTGTTTGTCAACGTCTGCCCTAGCACTGGGCCACGACGTAGGAATCGTGAGCCGGCAAAATTATGAAAATGAAGCTGCGGCTAGTAAGCCTGAAATGCCGCTTGTAGAAGTGAGAGCAGAAGAGGCCAACCGTGACTTTTGGCGACAATTTTTTATCCATTTACACTCTGTACAAGTCTAAGACTATTGCGACTGCAACTCCTAATACCTGCTACTCACAACGGGCTATCCAATATCTCTTAATCGAGTCTCCTTCATGTGAATAGTTTGAGTGCGCTAGACTCCCGGTGAAGCCCTTTCAACTACCACATCATTCAATTGTACTGATTTGGCGCCGCGATGACCCGTGTAGGCATCCGCGGGTATATTTATATACCACAGAACGTCCAAATTGATAGTCAGAGTGAACACTTTTAACTTACATGTCTACGTTCCAATCCAGGTCAATCCGTCAGGTGACAACGTCCGCGCGTGCCCACCACGGGAAAATCCGTGAGAAGGCATTCAACACCTGACTGAATTTCCTCACGAGGAATGTGCATTGGCTCTGGGTAAAGTGATGCGTGCTGTTGACTGCACATGGGTGCTTTCTCCCAGTCCGTATGCGGTAGATGTCATAGATGGGCAGGCCGTGCTTGAGAGACTGGGCCGAGCGGTATACCACTGCACCATTCAGCCCATTTTCAAAAGACACACTAAAAGCTAAATGTGCCACACACAAAATACGTAGTTGGTAGAAGTTTCCTCTTTTCGCCTCAGGCGCCCGCTCAGTACGCCTTGAGTGTCATAGTATCAACAAGGTGTAGTCCAACATTCCCCGGCCAGCTGGGACTTGGCCCGTCTAGAAAGCTTTGAATCTTGGCGCTAGGCGTCTGGAGGGCGAGCCGACCTCCACCGAGCCGCCCATGAGTCATGCACTTAGCCGTGAGGCTCACGCCGAGGCAGAGCAGGGGCAGCGCAAAGGTAGAAGGCGAGGCAGGCCCGGAATTCCTCATGTGATGTTGCCCAGACCGCTGCGAGTGGTTTGGCCTTGTTACAAGAATCCTGCCGCACTAGAGGCCACACTTGAGCAAACGTGCGTTGCTCGTTAGTCGGTGGCCTGCCGCCCTAGTCCAGAGGGATCGGGCGGGGTAGATCAGTCAGCTGACTGAGGCTTATATTACGTTTCCTAGTGGGCAAGTTGGCAGGGAAAAATTTAGTCAGGGGAAATTGAGTTGCTCATCCTACCCCCACATCAATCGGAGCCCGCTCATGATGCGGTGCCTCGCTCAAAGTAGATGGAACCGTCTGTAGATGGATTATATATTTTTATATACAGGTTTATGTTAGACTTAGCGCTTACATTTATAAACAGGGGTGCTGAAAATATGAAAACATGGCTACATTAGTTTACAGAAGAAGTTTTGAATAAATGAGGTGACCAAGAATTAATGCGTTCAATTCCAGCCCAGAGAATTTTCTGCCATCATTGGACCAGAAATTTGAGCTGCACGAGCCGAATTGCCCGTTCGTCCGCTGCCCCGACTATCACGATCGCGAGCAGGACTTATTCTTCCACCAGACATCATGGCTCCCGTCTCACCAGCAATTCGGTTATTGGCATTCTCCCTCGCCTCAGATGTGCCGTAAAAGGATTCCGATCGACGTAGTCGCTGTTTCCGCTGCTTGTAACGGCGAGCTAGTAGGAACATTGTAGCTCCATACGCTGCAGCTCCACCACACGCAGCCAGGGCAATTCCAGCTGTGGTGCCCTTGGCGCTGGCGGTTTGTGTTTGTTGAGCTCCGGCGTTGAAGATCCCGCTTTCGCCTGTTGTTGGACTAGGGCTTGATGAAGTTTCAGTTTCGGTGGGGGAAGTGCCAGGGTCCATGATGGATCCGGGAAAGAAGGGTATAGCCGGATTGATATAGTTCATTAGTGTATTTACGCTTTCGTCCTTGTTTTGATATATGGGTGATACTGGAATACCCAGATCAATCCTCAGGGTATCCACCATGCTGGTGGGGATGAATACTCGGCCCACGGTAGTGATGAACTGGAGCGAAGCGGTAGTGTCTAATGGTAGTAGATTCTTGACGACTATCTGTTCTGGCTTCAAACCCAGACCCTCGGCGATTCCGATAGGGAGATAAGTGAAGATTTGTGTCGTCGATAATGGATGACTAACGACAAAGGGATAGTTGAGCGCCCATTGAAATCCTATCTGGACTTCCGTTGTGTCTTCGGGCTGTTGTGGCGTAGAGCTGCTCAGAGGATTTTGTACAATTTTGGGCAAGGCACTAGGAATACCAGTGGGCTGAGTGGGAGATGCTTGGCCTGAGGTGTAGGATGAGGATGTTTGGGCAATTATACTGAAGGGCACAAAAGTAGACTCGGTATTGGTGGCCGTCGGCAAGACGATTGTTGGGATAATGGTGCTTGTCTCGAAGGTTGTAGGCTCATCACTAGTCTGATGGGAAGACGATTGAGTCGAAGAAACCGGCGACGTCGTATACGAACTGGTGTAGTTGGAGGGAGCTGTATAGGTGGCGTTGGGAGCAGTGGTCGTCGAGAGCGGTGGTAAACTACTCGATGACATGTAGCTAGAAGTCATCGTTACTGTACTGTTGCCACTAATTGGTGCTCCAGTGGGCTCCGTTCCATAACTGCTCGTCGAGTCGGGTAATTCAGAAGACGTGGTAGATGTACTTGGGTACGAAGTCATGGTACCGTTAGTAGGTGTTGGCAATTGACCTATCGACGTCGGGCGTGAAGTTTCGGTATCAGTGGTCGATGTCTGGGTGGAATTATAAGATGCCCAGGTCGAGCTGCTTAAGGCATCGGTAGTAGTTGCAGTAGTATCACCAGAGCTGGTACTTGATGTTGAGCTAGGAAGCCCATATGGCGGTGACGATTCAAGCGTGGAAGTGGTTGTAGTGGAAGGACCTGCGGTGGAGTTTGTCGTTAAGGATGTCGTGAAAGAAGTCGACATGGAAGTTTCTGTGGAGTTCGTCATAGATGGTGCTGTGGTAGGGTTAATCTGAGAAGTTGATCCTGTAGAGCCAGTTGTTAAGGTTGCTATTGAGGAGCCTATCATGGAAGTTGCTGTGGTAGAGTTTGATACAGTTGGCATCGTAGTAGAGCTGATCAGTGAAGTTTCCATGGTAGAATTGGTCGCTGGAGGTGCCATGGTAGAGCTGGTAATTGAACTTGCTACAGTAGAGCTCGTCATGGAAGACATGGCCGTGGTACTCGAGGTTAGAGTCCCAGTATTCGAGGTAGATACCGATGTTACTCCCGAGACACTCGTCGCTGTAGACATGATCGACGAGCTGCTCACCGATGTTTGTCCCGAGGCACTCGTGGCTGAAGACATGATCGAAGAACTACTTACTGATGTTTCCCCTGGGGCACTCGTAGCTGAAGACATGATCGACGAACTGCTCACCGATGTTTCCCCCAATACACTGGTAGCTGAAGTCAAAAACGAGGAGCTGGTCACAGATGTTTCCCCCAATGCACTGGTAGCTGAAGTCAAAAACGAGGAGCTAGTCACAGATGTTTCACCTAGAACGCTTGTGGAAGATGATATAAGAGTCGAACTGCTAGTTACAACTTGTACCGTAGAACTTGAAGCAGACGACGCTTTGGAAGGTTCTATGGTTGAGCTCTCGGCAGGAGGATTGGTCGTAGTTGCCGAAGATGAGCTAGCAGGTGAATTCTCTGCCGCAGTGCTCGTTACGGAGGGAAGGATTGAAGTATGAGATGTCGAAGTTGCATCAGATGCAGCGCTAGATATCGCCGGAATTGATGTGCCGGTTGTACCTGTTCCCACATAGGATATGCCATTAGGGGTACCGGGGCTCGATTCTGGGATGCTCGTTTGCTTCGGTTCCTGAGCGTTGGAAATACTTGTGATCACACCGTCGGGACCGAAAGTGATAGGCTCATTGGTATTAGGCGCAATTGATGTGTGGCTGGTAGCGGAAGCTGCTTCGACGGTAGTGTCGGTTGGTTTGACAATGACAGGGTGGATAGAGGATTGACTTTGAATGGCGGGTAGGACAGCGGCAGAGCTGGTGGCCGCCTCCGACTTAGCTGATGGAGCCTCAGCTGGAGTGTGAGCTGCAGGACTGGCCTGGACCTGACTCAGTGGCAGCGACGAGGAAGGAATGATGGGTGCCGGCAGCTCAGCGGGAGAAGCTGTTTGTGAAGGCGAGGTAGCCCATGATGCCTCTGGCTGTTGCGGAGTAGATGGAGCCGGTTCGTTCCAGCCAGGGCTGACAACTGGATTCGGATGGGGTTCTTGGGGCTCGGTAGTGACGGGAGCAGCCGACTGGGGCATGTCCAGCGGGGGCTCGTCGAGCGACTCGGCAGGCGCGTTTGCTTCAGGAGGGTCGGGAGCCCCCCACTGATCAGGATTCTCGAGCCATTCAGGTTTCTCCCAATCCGCTGGTGCGAGCTGGGCTGGTTCAAAGTCGAGCGGCGAGTTATCTGGATGTGAGGGATGTTGTATATGATCAAGTTCCAAGTCGGGCTCGAGGAGAGCGTGACGGTGCTTTTGTGCGTGAGAAAATGTGGATATTAGGGCAATGCCCGTAGCAATTATAAAGCGTGTATACATATCGGCAAGGAAATTGATATTATCGGATGAGAGAGATAGGAAGTGAGGGCAATGCCCAGTCGGAGGCGCGCCGGATGGCAAGAGTTGCGAGACGCTTTAATTGAGAGTGTGCGGCAAGTTGATTGAATGAGTGCAGGCGTTGCAGAATTTATCGCCGGGGTCAAAGAAAGTATCTATGGCTTGGGTCAGTGGATGAGTTTAATGAGTTGTGTGATAGCAAGCCCTGGCGGGCAAAGAAAAACATGATCTCCGCCGATCTTCACCACGCGCAGCCTCCTCCACACCCATTTGGAGATGACGGAGGGTTGGAGCGAGTATAGAGAGTCTAGAGGGTAGAAAGCGGACTTCTCACCTAGAACGGGCGCAACGAGATAGGAGGCAGGCGGAGGACTGTGACAGTAGAAGCAAGTAGCGAGTGGTGTATCTCGAGGTTGAAGAGAAGATAGAGACAGAATACGAGAGGCAACAGACACTGGCAGCTTAATCAAATCGCGTCGACATGGCCCGACAGCTCAGAGTTCCCAGGGATGCTGTAAATGTCTCGTAGGTAAATACAGACTGGCTGCATGGAGAGGTAAAGGGAAGGGGTTTGGGGTTAATGTGTGAAATGCGGAAATGAGATGGTGGCGGATGGCGCGGATGGAGCAACGATAACGCCGAGCACAGGAGCTGGCAACAAGGCACAAAAAGCACGGATGCCATAGCTAGCGAGCTGGATGCGAGGAACATCCCAGCAGTCGCATGTTCATACTCTCGCTTAGCCGCTCCTCGATTAGGGGCCGGCCAGGGCCCGTGAGTAGCGGGGCTGGTCAGGGCTCGAAGGAAGAAAGGAAGTTCAGGACCAGCCGGCAGCATAGGCGTCGCCTGCTTCCGATTGGGCGGGGTAGCGGTCGCGTGAGATGGAGATTTGTCGCCGGGCCTGACGTGGACGGGCAGAAGGTGTTGGTGAAGGGAAGTGAGTGTGGGCGACGTTTCCTCCATCTGGCAGCAGAGGATGAACGGCACGTCTGCGAAGTGAAGGGACCCAGCGAATTTCGAGTGCCACGACGCACGGAAGATGATGCCTCACCGAGGGGCTGGAGGCTGATCACGGCGGTGATTAATTGGGCCAGGTCACCGTCGCTGAAGTGCCGTGGAAACAAAAGCGGCAGTGGGATGGATAGAAAAGCGGGCGTACTGGTTTGTGAGAGAGGCTCAAAAAGCAGAGATCGGCTCGGTCACTATGGCGCATTCATGCTACGGTTGCAGCAGCCAGGACGCGCTGGGAACGCGAATGGCCAAGGGAATGGGCGATGGGCGCGGGCTGGCTGTGTAGCAGATTGACTGTCTAGCTTGTTTTGGCCGGCCCAACGTGGCCTTGAGGGAGAGAATAGACGTAGGCCAGCATCGAGACCCGTTCGACCGCCAGGTCTGGAAGTCGAGGGCACGATGGACGCGATGTATCTTTGGTGTTGCGCTGGCTGAAACGCGGGCCCGCCGCCTCTCAGCGCATCTGTGTTTCAAGCGCGCGGTGGAGGTGAGGATTCCCGAGCACTTCACTCACCTCTCGCCCACAACACTGCCCCTCATGGCGGCGCCGAACTTGAAGGGACTGGTGACAGCCAGCGATCGCTGGTGTGTTTGTAGGGGCCCAGCTCTCGTGGTCGTTGGTGCGGAGAAACAAGTTCGGGGTGGGAGATGTCCCTGAGACCAGCTCACGGCCTGCATGCCGTGTCCCAGGCTGCTCCGTCAGGGTTATAGCATCGGTTGGGACTTCTCTACCCAGCCTGAAAAGACATCTGAAATGCTCTGGAGATGTTGCAGGACGCCGAGAGAGACGAGCATTTGTAGTCTTCATGGTGGCATGGCAGCGGCCATAACGGTATGCACGTGACTTGTGGCAACTGAGCTGGGCGCCCCAAGACCAGCACCAGTTAGTCAGTTGAGCATCGCTCCATTGCCCGTGGTGGTTGTCGTGAGAGCTGACCCTGCACATAAGTCTTCCCTCGGTGAGGCCAGCGCGTGCGCTGAGCCGGCCCGGCCCAACTCCATCTATGTGCCAGCACCAAGCCTTCGCCGCTGGAGATGGACGAGAACGCAGGTTGGCCACGGTTTACTTGCTATGACCACGAGAATGGTATTACTACCGACGAAGCCCAGCCACTACATCAACTTTAATTTTGATTGAACTTAACGTCGGCCGACCCTGGCCCTGTATCCACTTTGAGGCTTGCGCGCCAAATATGTTCATACCTCAACTCACGTGACCTGAAGAGCTCCTCGGTCTAGTCGCTGCCCCTGTCACTGCCGCTGCTGGTTTATGCCGCATCTCGCTTAGGCGACGTTACGGGTCGCAGGCCTCAACAAGCAATTCCGACTTCTCCCTCGCCCAGTAACGCGCATCGATGCCAACGGCCTAGATGCACCCAACGCAAATTGCTCGTGTGGGATCAGACATGCCGCCCGCCCAAGACGAGCCCGAGATCTCTTCCGTCGCTGTTCTGCTGACGATAGCCCCTCCGAGTTATTCTACTCCTCGCCAGGCCACCAGGCAGAAAGCTTGTGCATGCGTGCCGCGACTACACCCATAGCAGAGGTAGTGCAACTGAGCCATAGTCGACCTCCTCCCCTCTGATGCCAAGTGACCGGGTCCTGTGCTAGCGCGACGGTACATTAATAAGACTCAACACCAAGCTTCATACTCGCCGTTATCGATGAATTCTCATCCTTCAAGCGGTGTCGGTATAAAAGCTCGAACACTGTACATGTGAGGAATAGCCAAGGAGAAATACATGCGGATCTTTTTTTTTTTAAATCATTTAGTGTGTATTCAGCTATTTAGCTATGACACAGTATACATGCGGATCGAAGTGGTTTGAAAACATAAGCGTACTTTCTGGGTCTCTTCACAACTTTGATGGTAAGTCAGCATCTGTCAGGGATGCCCTCTACGAATCTTCAGTTCTCACTGTGGAGACTGTAGAGCCGAGATTGAGTAACACCATCGTCCTCGCTCAGATGAGAATTCCTAATCACTATCGCTGTTTGTATCGTCTTGATTCCTCAGCACATCCCTCTATTGCCATTAACATGAAACAACCACCATCAGATCAGATGGGATGGATGTAACCCTACTCATCACCAACTGTCGAACTTCATAGCTCAGTATGAATAGCATAAGCTTGCTATGGTAGTAACAATGATTGTGAGCCAAAATAGATAGTTTTTCTTCCTCAATGTTAGTAAACTCGTAAATACAGTAATAACCACTCCCTCCCGATGCCATTCATAAACGGCTACCTTAATACTCATCAGCACGATTAGTCATCAACTACAGGATAAAATACTATTGATCGCTAGGACATGGAGGAGAAACCATCCGACGAGCATTCGGAGTATGCTTAGCTCCCGATACGGTAGCGGTGGATTAGATCAAGTCGGGCTCTAGTGTAACAAACGGAAATATAGACGGATTTGCGAATCTCTTGTGGCTCCGGCGACTAGACTTCGTCTGGCTTGGGTTGCAGATTTTTTGGGACTTTTTCCCGCGCACGCAGTTTCCATTGCTACAGCTTGGATAAAAATAACGGACGACCGCTACAACTATTTAGAGAGTCGAATCCGTGATCATCATGAGC